GATAGAAAAAGACATGCAGACAAACATTAAGTCAGATCTCCAGCCAAAAGCTACAATGATCCAAGACGGGAAAAGAGGCTTTCATTGGTTTACAATTTGTACTGGTTTAAGTAAGTGATTTGCAGCTGCATGGTTTTGCATTATAATTTACATTGGACAAGAGGTGGCAACCAAACACAGTCCCAAAATTGTTTAATAATAATTAATTAGGGATGAGCAAAAATGCTTCAAGAATAATGAATAATAAAAATAATGATGAAACCTTTATTAGTATTTTATTAGTATATTGTTAGTAATTGACACATCTTTTTATTTTGCATAATTATTTGGTTAGTTGCATTTAGCTCCAGCTATTAGTTGTAAACTGGTAGGCCTATGTGTTTTATTCACGAAACAGAATCGACTCATTTAGTTTCAATTAGCCATTCATTCAAGAATCAGACTGCCCCGATTGCCCATGTTTGATTCTCTAAAAAGAACCGGCTTACATGTGTCAATGTCATACGTTTAAGGATTGTAACAGTAATTAAAAAGGTAACTAAAAACAAGTTCAATTGCTGTCGTGAGTTTTGTTATACAGCACGCACTTGTTCCCTGGTCGGTTTACAATGTGTGTACATGTTTGGTGTCATAGGGATAAAAGACTAGGAGACAGATTCAACTGAATTTACCCCCTCCCACCTTGTGACCGACTACAGGCGGGTATTCAGCTCACCCGCTTTGACCGTTATAATCAGATCTTTTGTTGAAATGTTGGCGGGCCGTTCTGGGCCGGAGAAAACTAGGCATCTGATATCTGCATCTCCATTGTGCATTTTGATCGAGGCGGCTACCAGCATTACAACTTTATACTGGAGCAACCGTCAACGCTCCCTCCTAGGAGACGCTGGTATTTTTCCACTTGGGCACCATTGGGAGAGACACAAAAGGAAAAGTGCCAAGGAGAACAGTTTAGATTGTGTAGAGACTAGTCTCATTGTTGGGTGTAATGTCATCTGTTCCTGGAACAGTGTGCTTTATGGTGGGGGAAATCATCTGTAATGATTACGCCTAGCAAGGAAATATTGTCCACAATAGTAGGCTATAGTCAAACTTCAGTTGATACATTTAGTTGAAACCTTTTATCAGTAAGCTACATAGGTAGCTACAAGTAGGCTTTGCGGTTAAAAAAAACAAAATGATCGCGATTAATCGCATCCAAAATAAAAGTTTGTGTTTACTAATATATGTGGGTGCACTGTGTATAATTATTTGTATAGCCTATATATAAATACACACACATGCATGTATATTTAATGGAAAAAAATATTAATATATAAACATATTTATATTATATATATAATATATTCATATAAAATATTAATATATTTATTTATATATAAATCTATATACAGAATATACATGAAAATATTTCTTAAATATATACAAGCATGTGTGTGTATTTATATATATAAAATAATTATACACAGTGCACCCACATATATTATGTAAACACAAACTTTTATTTTGGATGCGATTAATCATTTGACAGCCCTAATGTCAGGAGATGTGCCTATGCCTTCTGACCTGGAATGCGGCCTCCAAGGCAGCATTTATCAGTTTTCGGATGCTGCCATTGAGTAGACTCGCTCTTTCTGTCAAAAATGAGGCGCTGTGGGGTATGTCCAATTAAACTTAAAGGAGCTGTATGTAAGAAATGTAATGGGGGGGGGGGGGGGGGTTAAACAGCTGGATTATGACACTATTTTGTTCTAGATCTGCTGAGATAAACTTTGTTGCATTATTATCCCCATAAAGCTGCTTTGAAACAATCTGTAGCCTATTGTAAAAAGTATATAATAAATGTAATGAAGCGAGAATTGTGATGAAGGCTTGATCAGGTAGGCTATTATTATATTACAGTTAAATTGTATCACTTTGTTAGAGTACATATTCATGGTTTGTGATTTAATTTGTTGTTGGCGTAGTATACAGCATTGGTTAAATTTTCTGACCATGAGAATTGCATTAATTGCATTTTATTTCACCTACTGTATGGGAGCACATAACAATATTTTGATTTAGAGGAAAAAAATAATTTTATTCAAATAAATCATTTTTGTTTTTTCAGTCTCATATAATTGTTTTGTATGGTTTCTGAAAAAATTGTTGGTTGAGTATTAAAAAATTATATTCAATTAAATGTTCAAATGCTCAAGCTTTGTTTTAATTGTTTTTTAAGCTTTGTTCAATTTATATTGTTAATCTTTTGACTCAACAAAATGGATAAAGTATCATTCATTAAACTTTTAAAAAAAATATTAACATTTGTTAATAGTACTGTATTGTCTTTTGTTAATTGGACAAAACATAATTCTTGTCTATATTAAAGCCTAGTATTTGATTTTAAATATATACCATATATATTATATAAATGGTCTTAGTCTGTCGTCTTCATACTGCTATGACGTATGGTTCTGCGGATCTGCAATTGGGCCATCATCCATATGATTACCTTTTACATGAACATCAAAATGTACAATGTCAGGTTCACTTTCATTTAATAAAAAAATAAAAATAAATAAATAAAAATAAATTCTGGAGTGGGGCTGGCTGGACATCAACAGAGAGAGGAGTGCTTTATTAATCTGTAATTTATCACAAGCTTATTCACCCTCTAATGGAGGCAGCACAGTTCACATGTTAAACTTGGATCCTAGTGAGGTAATGGCAAACAAATGCTGCATTAACTGCTTAATACATTAATGACGAATTACCATGATACAGCCAGACAATGACAGGGGCCCTCACAAAGGCTACTCATTTTTAAATATATACTGTATATATTTTCTATTTGTTTCCTTTCTCTGGGGGGCTTTGGGAGAAGAAGGACAATGGGAGGGGATGTGTTTGTGTGAAGAAAGCATGAGCGACCGACCAATATGTTGTTGTGGTTAGGGTATGGGAGGGGCATCACTCTTATGGAAGCTAACATCCCCCACTCCAAAGAGGAGAAACATTACATAACACCCTGGCATTACGTTTCATGACATCATCCAAAAAGCTAACTAAAAATTTGATGACTTCAGCCTAGGCACTGGAAAAAAAAACTGTCTCAAAAAAGCAAACAATGCATATTAGAAGTAGACCAGCATTCAAATAGAAGGGTTTTTTTTTTATCTGTATATCTATTCAGGCTGGTGTGTATTCAGAGAGAGAGTCTCTCTGTCGCTCAGTGGTTCTACAAACTGGGTCACTGTCAGCGGTGGGAAATTAAACGCACATATCTATCTGTCTGTCTGCCTGCAGACATTTTGATCCTCAACCCTGCCAATAGATGTTCCAATGCATTTATCAGAATGTATTTTGGCATTAATCTATGCACATCTGGTCCACATGCGGGTCAGTCAAAATGCACGTACGTCTATGGATAGACTGGCTTTTAAGAACATTTTTACAGATCAAGTATCAGTTTTTAGGTTTGTATCCCAATTATAATAAGTTTGACACATAACAAAGGAAGATCAATAGGACGTGGTGTTTTTCATCATGATCAATTTGTATTGACATTTTAATACTGTATACTAAAAGACTTAAACCTTAAAACCATTGGACTGTTGTCTGAATGTTACATATATATATTGGATAGGTAGTTTTGATAAATACATGATGCGTTCAAACACTATCGTTCCTTTGCCAATCAGCAACATGTGTGATAAGCAACACGTGCAGCAAGTCTCTGAAAGGCCTATGAATTTAATTTAAAATGCTGAAATAGCTTTAATGATAGCCTCTGGCCCCAGTAATACCAGCCAAAAAGTTTTTTGGCAGGATTTTCTTCCAGCTTTCTTTGTGTCTTTGTGTAAGACACCAGAGACCCTAGACAGGGCGAGGCATGTAAGCACCATCTGCTCCCCCTTTTCCCTGGGCAGCTTACTAAATGTCTCCCCCCTTACACAGGATGAATGAGATCCAGGGTGGGGCATGAGGAGACTGGCAGAGCATGATACAAGCAATTTTGGAAAGAGATGAGGCCTACAAAGAAAATATTAGAGAGATATTTAACTGAGTGTATATATATATATATATATATATATATATATATATATATATATATATATATATATATATATATATATAATGCATACAATGATGTAAGGCAACATTATAATAATTATATAAACGTATTGCAAATGTATGCCATTAAGTGTTGGATAAGAGCATCTGCTATTAAGTTATTAATAGTTATTTCTATATAGTTATAATCAAATCAAATCAAATAATAGTTATAATCTCCGTTATTTGCAATGTGATATTTATGCATTAGTCAAAACAAGTAACTGATTCCAAACAGGCAGTGGCCAAGTCCATTCAGTGACACGGAAACAAACACCAGCCACAAGACAGTAAAAACAAGTCAGCTTGAAACACAGTGCTGAGACTATCAGCTCTGCCATTTAGCTAAAGTTCATGCGATGACAGAGGATTCACTGAGGCATCGGAAAGAACAGAAGCAAAACAATCACTAATGCCAAGTCAACTGTTAATTGCCAGATTGCTTTTCTCTAAAAACAATTTGTAAAGTAGGTCATATGCACGTTGCTGCTTTGTTCTAATCATTTATTGGGCTTTCTATATCTCTGCATGACCAGATGGGTGAGGTCACGTTAATAAAGCCTCATCTCATATTGCCTTTAAGTTACTTTTTAGGGAAAATAAATTTGCTAGTCTCATATAAGTTGTCATATTTTATTCCTCTAAATTAAGCTATTCTATAGGCTTCCGGTGCTTTGTAATGGCCATTTATAATTTATGATGATTTCTATTAATAAATAAGCGTTGTACTATGTAAACGTGAAGGCGGTGGTCATTTATGCCAGTCATTTAAAAGTAAATTAGGACTACGATCTTATTACGCAGCTGAAATTATAGCATAGGCCTACTACAAATCCCAGAAATCTCTAATCGACAGTCATTGGTCACATCAAAATATGACGTAACACATTTTGGTCCTCTTTTGCGCGAACGGTTGGTGCTGAGGCAGAGAGGAATCTGCGCGCGGTCAACTCTGGCTCTGATTTCCACTTCATAAAGGTGTGTGCTTTTTGTTTTCAATTATTAATATTTTTGCAGTGTGTCCCGGGCGTTCCTCGCGTGACAGGCAATGCAACTATCAAAACTGTAAACATATACAGGGTTGATTTTTTTTTTAAGTAAAACCACTAACGTTATTTATCTCACTCTGAGTCTTTGGGGAGGGGACGTTGATCATAACAGGAGCATCGAGAATATTCTGTATGGTTAGATAGTTACCGTAATAAATAAAGTCCATGAATTTAAAAATAGGCTAAGCAATCGCAGCTGCTCGTCGTCGCGCGACCATTAGCTAACATTTTGTGTTTACGTCGTTTAATCGTGAGGAAATGTGCAAATTTGGTCGATGTGCAGCTCAACACTAGCCAATTGGCTCTTATTAGTTCATTTTGGAATGTTTATTTTGTCGTTTTGCTGTTGCTGACACAGACTTGAAGTTTTTTTTGTTTTTTTTTCATATCATATTTGAACAATAAGCCCGCCATATTCTGTAACGTTAGTCCAAATACGTGACAAGTGATCTAAGGGTCTCGACGCCTTTTGTCTTCGTTGTTTTTGCATTCACCAACTAATCCGGACAATTTTTTTTATTTATCTTCGCATGCATAAATAACATGAATTAATGAATAGCAATATGCATTTTGCATGTCAGCACTGAGATTATTCTTTTCAGTGGGCAGTGCAGTAACGTTAGTGTCTGGTGTGAAATGGGAGAGATTTGGGTGTGATCTTGTTTGATGGAAACGGGTCATACGTTCATACCATTATTTGTAAAGGTTGCATTCAATATTAGCATGTTCCTTGAACATTATTAGCCATCATCATTATTTAATATGATACAGTGTGTAATATTATGGATTTTTGCATGATGCTTAAATAGGGGTTCAGGGTGTATCTCGGCCATCTATTGTCTCCAGATGAGATCCTGCATCCCATCAGACAAACACTAGTGCTGGATGTTTATATTCAGCCATCGAGTGATGATTTGTTGTCAGGTCATATTTAAGATGTCAAGTTTGTGTAATACTTAATATGCGAGGAATTTGTACAACGAACTAACGTTAGCTTGAGGATCACTGCCCTGTTTGTCTTTGTTCGTTTCTTACACAATATCCCCTTTGTTTCTCCCAATGACCAGTTCGATCAGATTACATTACTACAAGATATGATTTGTTTTCTCTACATTTCACACCCTGTATTGCAGATTATAATTGAACTTTTATCCTGTAATTGGTTGACGATGACAGCACGTCTGAATAGATGGATCCGGTGGTTATTGTGCTGGCAGCGACTCGTCCTTTTCTTGGCTTTCAGCAAAAAAAAAAAAAAAGGATACATTGCCATTTATTAAGCAGGACATTTTACATTTTTAACAAGAGTTTTGTCTAGCTTGTTTCCTTCCCATAATATTATTCATTTAGTAAATTATTCATGACTATTTTGGCGACGCCACTCCCTAAAATAGTGTGCTATTTATAGTTATTTATATATTTTTTTTATTTTTATATGTCACCGCAGAGACTGATTTCACTCAAATGGATTTTTCATGAATAGCTTACCTTAAAGATGATAGAAATGCTGTTGTATAGCTCAGGCTTGTTTACAATATATGAATGTTATTGTTTACAATATGTGACGGAATACAGATGATTAAGAGAAAATATCGTGTAAGCATAAGTTGCATCAATGTTAGTAGCAAAATGTTTATATTATTATATCTGATATTAATATGCTTTCATTTGGCAGGTGTGTGAAACCTTCAAGGTTAGAAGTGCAATGGCGTCCTCTGGAGGTAAGAAGTGATTTCTACATCAATATGCTTCACTATAATCATACTCTAAATGAAGCCATTCTGCAAAGAAAATGGAGCGTGGATTATTAAATGCAATGCTGTTCCGTTCACAGAGTTTCAGGTTAAGGAACTGGACAAGCGTGCCTCAGGACAGGCTTTTGAAGTCATCCTGAGTCCCACGGCTCCAGATGCCAAGGGAGAATTCCCACTTTCTACCCCCAAGAAGAAGGAGGTATCTCTGGATGAGATCCAGAAAAAGCTGGATGCAGCAGAGGAGAGACGCAAGGTAAGTGCTCGTTTAGCAATGAATTACTGATCCTGCATTATGTTCCTCTTCATTTTTTTTCTTCATTCGTTCCTCACGTTAGAACCACGAGGCAGAGGTCCTGAAGCATTTGGCTGAGAAACGAGAGCATGAAAAGGAGGTCCTTCAGAAAGCAATGGAGGAGAACAACAACTTCAGCAAGATGGCAGAGGAGAAGCTCAACCAGAAAATGGAAGCCAACAAAGAAAACCGCACAGCACGCATGGCAGCTATGAACGAGAAATTCAAAGAGAAGGTGTGTGTGTGTGTGTGTATAGATGAATACATACAGTATGTATTGTGGTTTACGCCATAAAGCTTTAGTTCTATATTGAATAACACATTATTTTAATGGACATTTGTTTCTTTATTTTAGGACAAGAAGCTTGAAGAGGTACGAAAGAACAAAGAAACAAAAGAGGGGGGCGAGGATGAAAACTAAGTTTCCTCTCTCATTTTCCTTTTCATTTAGGGTATAGTGTTGGGTTTTTTAATGTATCCAAAGATTTATTTTTTGTTCCATTAAATGGCCTGTTTTCCATGTTTGGATCCATGTACTTGCCACTTTTTTATTAAGGGGTTTTGGGGGAAAGCTGGTCCACAACATTTCATCACCGTGTGTATTCAGTTGTGTCTTTTATCATCCCCTCTAACCGGTAGATTTGTCTAGTTGCAGCTCTATAGCATTTAAAATGAGCAGTGTTTTACTGATAGGGATGCATGCCTGTGTTATGCATAGGTCTAATATATACTTGGTATATTGCATTGTGCACCTGTTCCCTTGTATGTCAGTACTGCCATCCTTTGAGCTTAATAAAGTTGCACAGTTGTTTGTTATGGTACCAGTTTTGCCACTGCCTCTTTGTTGATCTGCAGTCAGCCAGAATGTAATGTGGAGTAAAATAACTTCATAAAATTTGTACATTGTGGAGATAAATGGCAGTTTCTGTAATTCTATATAGAAAAAAAAAATGATTTTGCCCAAATAATAATTTAATCTTCTGGGATACGTTTTGATGTATTTTTTGTAATCTGCATGAGATTTTTCATGTTAATACTAAACATTATCCACAAGCATTTCCTTCACTAGATCATAAATCATACCTAATATGTGTTAATGAAAAAAAAAAAAATTAAATGTTTCCTACTTGGAAAGGTACAAGTTAAAAAGAAAATCTGACAATAAAAATCTTATTGTAACACTTGCACACATGAACTTACAATGAACGGCACTTCTACACCATTTATTAACCTTTGTTAGTGTTAATTTCAACATTTACTAATATATTATTAAAATCAACAGTTGTATTTTCTTAACATTAATTAATGCACTGTGAAGTAACATGAACAAAGAATCACGCTGTTAACTGATGTTAACAAATAAAGTATTGTTCATGTTAGTCAATGATCAGTAAATACTAACTAATGTTAAATGAAACCTTATTTTAGTGTTACCAGAAAATCTAATAAAATACGTCGCTTGAGACTGTTTTTGAACTATACTGACATCTAGTGGTTTGAGTTTGTCAAACAGGTATTGGAAAAGGTTTTTGTGAAAAATCTCAAAATTATTTCAGAAAAAAATTACGTAATCAATTATGGATTTATTTATTTTTTTGTTCAAAATAGAGTTGCTTGCATGAAAATGTATTGCTTTGCAATGACGAATGGTTTGTTGTCCACATGCTGTCACGTTATTATGTGTTAAGATTAGAAGTAGTGCATCAATCTTTTCTAAAATTAATTATACCTTATTTCCAAATCCAAACTCACTTAGTAGATCAGTCCAAAAAAAAAAAAAAAGATCATGCCCAGTTGTTTGAATAAATGTTTTTTTAAAATGAATAAAATAAAAATGAAATCACATGCTTGTCTGTGTCATAGGAAGGTTTATGAATATCCAAATTTCCTTCAGTCATCCACATGCTGTTTTGACCCAGCCAGAATGATTCAGTCACTACAGTACTGTAGACAGAAAAGCCTGTCAATATGACATACAATTATATTTGAACAGGAAGTCTTGAATAATTTTATTCTGCCTCTTTGACAACTTTATGCTGGTACAATACTGCAAATCGAATGGAAATATGGTATAATTACGTGACTGAAACATTTTGCCTTCCTGTGTCTAAATTCACAATGTGGATCTTTGTTTCCACTGTGAACGGAGTATGACAAGGACACATTGTCAGAGTGCCTGTGTGGGTGATGAGATAAGCCTTCACATAGTTTAACTTAAGCACAAGAAGAGAAAACAGTACATTCACAATGTGTAATTAAAATGTGTACAATTAAAATGACCTTTAAATGTATTTAATTGTAATTACAGGGCATTAAAAATGTACATGTGGCTTTTGCCAAATACAGCATGTGGTGTTAACTCTGAATGTAGGTGAATTTGCTACTTTGCAAATATATGGGCACATATATATTATGTGATATGTGCAAATTATAGTATGTATACACACACACATCTTTTGTCGGTGTGATACCTCAGTGGCTCTCACATCGCCTTTTATTAAAGAGGGTGTGTAGGCGGTATTAATAAAAAGAGGGTAGTTTCACATTTCACAGCCCATACATTTGACAGGGTGTCGCCACCTATTGGTGTTTCCTATTGGCGAGTTACTCTAGACGAAGGCGGGGACAATGCTCTTCGGTCTTTCTGATTGGACAGTTTACATGCCCATCAAAAATCTTTAGACATCCATCTGACAGCGGTACTGCAGGGAGCTGACAGGAGCCTCTACCGCTCAACACATTTTTACGTAATTTTTCATTATGAAATTTCCTCTGTTTTATTTCGCTTCCTCAAGACGCATATGAAGGCTCGGTTAAATGCAGTTCTCTGACTGAGGGGATTATCCTCTTAAAAGGTAAACCATTTCATTTGTTTTATGCTAAATGAAAGGTGAAAATTATCCACCCTATGCTGTATGCACTATATTATTTTAGATAACGGAAAAAAATAAACATACATAGCCTTTGTGTTGAACCGTTAATGTGTACAAACGGGGGGAATGAATATATAGTTCAAAATAGATCATTATAACGTGTTGGGTTGTTGCTTGCACCTGTAGACGTTGAATTTCGTCAAGACATTTCATTGTTGCGCTTCCGGCGTCTCACGTTTCTTTTTCGAGATTTTACGAGACAGCTTGAGGGTGTGGGAAGGGTTGTCTTTTGGGATGCCATCATTTAAATTTGTCCTCAGCTTCCCCCTTATTACGTGTTTTTTAACAGATTCGAAAATTAAAACTCATTATTTTCCCTGACCCTTTGTTTTCCAGACATTATGATCGATGATTTCGTTTGGTCAGTTTCGTCCTCATTAATTAATGTGCACGAGGAGCTTTACGCAGCGAGTTGATGTTACGTAAGCGGTGAGAAGAAACGCCCCGTTGTACATCATGTTACCTTAATTTTCAGGATGAACCAATTTGTGCTACAAAAAAAAAGAAAGAAACAGTTTTTGCAAACTATTCGGTAACGCTTTTGATAAAATAAAATTTGAATAATCCTGATAATTAATTTAAACAGTATCAATTTGCACGGATCGTTTAGAGTTTGCATTCAAATAGAATGAAAATAAATTAACCAATAAAAAGTATAGGCCACGATCTTAAAAACATAGAAATTAATACGTTTCAAAAACGCAAACCTTTAAAAATGTAAGGGTTCTGCAACTTTAGGTACATTTATGTTCTATTGGTTGATTTTATATTAAATCTAACTGGGTTCATCTTATTTCTTTTTTGTTGAAATTCACATTAAAATGTGTTGGAAACTTTTTACTATGTCTTCATGATTTATTTTTCAAATGTGTATTTTTTTTAAATAGCTTTATCCAGCTCAGACTTTTAATCTAAAACTATGAGAATGTCTACTACTTTGATAACCTAAACGGAAAGTCATCTAAAGTTATTGTGAGCCCAAGTTGTATATTGAGAGTCATTTACAAAGTAAACAATCTTTAATTTTGTTAAATTAAACAAAACAGAATATCAAATGAAATGTTTGCTATGTATTTGTCCTCGGCTCATGAGAAATAATTTCCATGACCATCATTTCCTCCACAGAATGTTATACAATACATTATTTGAGCTGTACATTTTTCTAACTCATATGTGATGCATATTCAAACTGTTGGTTGACAAATAAAGTGGTGAGAGTGTAAAAAAACATTGTATTTAGATATTCTCCCTTGTGAACTTACCCAAAAAATGCAAGGATAATATTTAACTGTTTAATACTTTCCCCAAACAGATTTCACGCTAGACGGACGCTTAATTTTTCCTCACTATGGCGACAGTTGTGATGGAGCAGATTGGGCGGCTGTTCATCAATGCACAGCAGCTTCGCCAGATCCCACGTTTCCTGGAGTCAGCTTTCCCTAAACTGCCTTGTACTGTGATGGTGAGCGATGTGCCGTGGGTTTTCCGCGAGTCACACATATTCACGGGCTACCGGCCGCCTGACCAGAACTGGCGCTACTACTTCCTCACTCTGTTTCAGAGGCATAATGAGTCTGTAAATGTGTGGACACACCTGCTAGCCTCCCTCATTATCTTAGTCAAGTTTCAGGAGCTGTCTGAAACTGTGGATTTCCTGCGAGACCCGCACGCCCAGCCGATGTTCATCTTGCTCCTAGCCGCGTTCACCTACCTGGGCTGCAGTGCGCTGGCCCACCTACTCTCAGCCAAGTCTGAGCTCTCCCATTACACCTTTTATTTTTTGGACTATGTGGGCGTAGCCGTTTACCAGTATGGCAGCGCCCTGGCCCACTTCTATTACGTTGTCGAAGAAGAATGGCACGCCCAAGTACGAAGCTTTTTCTTGCCAGCTGCAGCCTTCCTGGCCTGGCTGTCCTGTACGGGCTGCTGCTACGGCAAGTACGCCAGCCCAAGCTTGCCCAAGTTCGTTCACAAGCTATTCCAGGTGGTCCCCTCGGGCCTGGCCTACTGTTTAGACATCAGTCCGGTGTTCCATCGCATCTATAAATGCTACAGCTCCGAACAAGGCTGTGCTGACCAGGTGGTGGACTACCACTGCTATCAGATCCTCTTTTTTCTGATCAGCGCCTACTTCTTCTCGTACCCCCATCCTGAGCGCTGGCTCCCGGGATGTTGCGACTTCATCGGACAGGGCCATCAGATCTTCCACGTGTTCCTTGTGCTCTGCACTCTAGTGCAGATCGAAGCTGTACGCATGGATTTCACCGAGAGGAGACCTCTCTACGAACGTCTTCATGGTGATTTGGCTCACGATGCAGTGGCTCTTTTTATCTTCACAGCGTGTTGCAGCGCTCTCACTGCGTTCTATGTGCGCAAACGGGTGAAGGCGTATTTAGAAGAGAAGCAGGAGTAGATGTCTTGGCAGGGACCTTGCTTGCACATGTAGGAGGGATTGCACTGGTCTACAACAACTGAAGCAACTAACAATAAAGGACCTTCTTATTATTTTTCAGTTGATCCCATATTTGCTGTTAATGGTTTAATTATGTGGCCTGCCAGTGCATTTTGAAGCAACATTCTTTCTGTTAACCAAACTGGTGACATGCTTTAAAACCGCATTACTCATCGAGAATGGCTCTAAAATAATGGATTGCTTGCTAGAAGGTGCTCAGTTCCTAAGCGGATCTGTTTGATGAGTGCCATTCCAACCTTATAAACCCAGTTTACGTGAAATCTGTGAGGGAATGTCAGCATTTTGCTGGCAGGTTAGTTTGCCTACTTGATAGTTTATGTTGACCATAACTGGATATGATCATACTTGCATTGTGCCTCTAAATCCAACCTAATTTTGGCGTAGTGTGGTCTTAATTATTTGTTACATGTCATTTACACATTTGCCAGACATATTATATTGCATTCAAAATACACTCTTTCCCCCTGCATTCCATGTAAATCAAACCCATAACATTGGCTTTGCAAGTGCCACATGCTACTGTTACAAGAATGCACACTGGAAATTAAAATGCGAGTAACTAAAGTTCCCACGCCATTAGACCAGTGCAATTATCAAAATGTGGAGCTCAGATGAACCTAATTTAGATGTCAGTTAAATGCACAGGATAAACCATGAAAGAAATGTTACAAACTCCATAAGAATTACCTTATTGAAAGATTTTTAACCAGTTTCTCTTTAATTAATCCGATCAAATTCCGACCTCTACGGTGCTTTTTAGATTTTAAACGTTTTGGCTTCACTTATTTCAACAGAGCAATGCAAATCAGTGTCAAATTAACTTCTGACTTGCCTTACAGTGCGTCTAACCCACCCAGTGCCATGTTAAGGTTAGTTTAGAAATACCTGTGAATTGCAATCGACTGGTTTTGCACTGCCAGTGAACACTTCCCTGCCTTTTAGATGTATAGCCAGTGAGCTAAGAGGGCTAAAGTGCCAGATTCTATGAAAAAAAAAAAAAAAAAAAAAAACAGCAGGCAGGATGTGATGTCACTGGATTGAAGAATAGGGGTTGTAGCTCAGGGGTAGAGTGCAAGCAATGTTGGACTAGGGCAGTCGTGGCCTAATGGTTAGAGTGTCAGAAGGTAACCCGAAGGTTGTGGATTTGATTCTCAAAACCGGCACGTTATGACTGAGTTGTGTGTGTGTGTGTGTCCATTACTCACTGCTCCTAATGGGTCTTCACTAACTTGAATGGGTTAAATGCAGAGGATATATTCCAAATATGGGTCACCATACTTGGCCTTCACTTTATGTCACTCACTTGTATAGTCAAATTGAAGGATTTCAATGCAACAACTGGATGATTATTAATTTTGACGCAAAAATGAAAAACGGTCTGTATTTTATGATTCTCAAACTTATTAGAAAGTTGCTCAATGACACTTTTTTGCATAATGTTACAATAGACAGTTCACCCCAAAATGAAAATCCATCATTTACTCACCCTAATGTTGTTCTAAACCTGTTTTATTTGTTCAAACAATAAAGGTCAATGGGGTCCAAATAACATTGGATTACATTGATTTTCATTGTAAATGATGGCAGAATGTTCATTTTCGGGTGAACTTTCACAGCCAAAGAGGCTTTTGAGAAACAATGACACGTCCTTCAATTCTATGATGTCCTTTTGTCATGAAGATGCTCCTTTTGTACACAAGGGCTAAAACTACGGTATGGCCTTTACCTTTACTCATACCCTGATATGAATGCCTTTGTGTGTTCTGTGCATACATGGATTTTTCTATTAGAAGTTCCGCACTTTACTTACAAGAGCAGTCTGAGCATCAGAACTAATATGTGTGAAATGTATATTCTAATGTGCCTGACTACATGCATGCTTCCTTGTGTGAGTATACATACAGGTGCTTGTGTGTGTGTGTGTGTGTGTGTGTGCGTTTTTGAATGTATATGTATACCTATGTGAGATGGCTACTGATGAGAAAGGATATGAAGGCTCTATCTTAAGTCTGAACCTGTCTGGCCTTTTAATGACCGTGAAATACATCTTGTGTATCTTCCCTTGTTTCAGACCTTGTCCATAACACATATCCATCAGATAGAAAGTAGAAGGATAATCTACTTTCCCATTGAAGTGATCCATATTCACCTGAGATGAATATTGTGGTGTCACTAGACTGTTGCTGCATTTCCGGTCCCAGAAAAACAAATTGTTGCTGTGGTATGAGCCGTTTGAGATCAAAGTCATGATAAACGGTGACCAGCATTTATTTTTTCAACCTGGAATACATATGGCAGAAAAAGGGGCCATTCACACAGACCATGTTTTTGCGAGACACTAGATAATGTAATACAAAAATCAAGGTCTAGGAATGCTTTTTTAAAAAGTTGAACTTATTTTAGCGCTACTTTTTAAAATAGCCCTGTCATGCACGAGGCACTGCAAAAGACAAAGGTCAAATGTGTCCATCTAGCGCATGTTTACATTGAACAATAATGGAAAAGCAGCAAAGTGAAAAGCAAACGTAAGTTGCAGGGTAGTGGGATGAAAATTTGCATGGACTAGAGAATGGGTTTTTTTAAGTTTTAAAATGCTATGTTTGAGAGCTATGCTGGAAAAAGACCCGAGACGCAAGCAGAATGGACAAAGACATTAGTCTATCGCTTGTTTACCTCAAAAAAAAAAAAAAAATGTGCTTAAAACGCGAGACGCAGGGCAGTGGGATTAAAAAAATAACCCGATTATTTTAACTTGACACAGCATTCTACAAACAGCGCTCATGCGTGAGATGCTGTAAAAGATGTTTACATCGAAAAGTAATGGAAAAGTGCAGTGAAATGAAAAAATGTGCTCAATGTGAGCAGTCCTTAAGGGTTGAAGTTGAACTTATTTTAACTTGAGCCCCACGTTTTTAGAATACCAGGCCGTATCATACGCGAGACACTGCAAAAAACGCGACCGCACCAGTCAAACACGTACGAAAATGGAAAAGTAGCGCAGTGAAATTGAAAAAAAAGTATTCTGTGTGAACGGCCCCTAAGCCATTTTAACAGCACCAGCAGACAACAATGATGTCACAGATTGATGATGTTGTCGCAAGTCTGGGACTGATGAAGTGACTAACGTCAGTTGGCTCTAAATGGTGATTTACAAGGCAAATGTCTCAGAAAATTATCACATGGTGGGTGCTTTATTTATTGAAAAACCATAATGATATAAATAAGAAATTATTTTAGAATATTAATTTTTACAGAAGATATTAAACAGAAACAGAACATGTTGTTTTTACTGTTGTACCAGCCTGTGTTTAGGAAACAAATGGACCCTCTGAAATCACAGAGAGTGAACAGGGAGGCTGCCAAGAGCTGATGTCTCTGAGGAAGACAACAGATGAGGTCATATCCTGGCACGACCGGGATTTGACCTAAAGCCTCAATTCCTGTAACGCTCAAGTGGAATTAAAAAAAAAAAGTCAGTAAATGATTTGTGCTAAACTGTGAATTGTCTCGAAGACACTAAAAGAATCTGAATAGACTTTTCTATTTTAAACATGACCATGTAGAGTTTGATGATGGTGTTTCTTTTGTATTGCCCTTAAGTGAAGAGGAAGGACCACTCAGAAAGTTTCTTTAGAACCTCTTGATTTCGTTCAGCACTTGAATTCAGTTTTTGACTGTACTCAACCACGAGCCCTTGCACAGAGCTGAACTAACGCTGCAGTGCAGAACTGGGAAATAAAGACTGTGTTAAGTTAACCTAAACTATACCATTGTGTGTGGAAATGACTGTGTTGATGTACTATGGTATTTAAGTAAATAAACAAATGTGTCCTACCTTCCACTACATGTTATTGTGCTCTCTGTGGTCCTCTTTAATATAAAACATCAGTTTAGTGTATGCACACACTAACGAGTAACAATTGTCGTGAACAAAAAAGCTATTGTAATCCATTCAATCCACAGCTCACAGCTTCAACTGAAGTGATAAAACAACATATGCCAGATCACTTTGAGGGAAAGTTCACCCAAAAATATACAAATTCTCTCATTCACTTGGAATGACTTGAGAGAGTAAAATGACATAATTTTCACAATTTGAATCTGAATTTGCAAATGTGAGCTGTTTGCAATCTTGTAAGGTAGTCCATCTGTGTCTAGAAGCTTATTCCAATAAATGTATGGATGCAATAAATCCATACTCTTTAGTATGGCATGTATGCCAATTTTGATATTTTATTTAGCTTATTCATTTGTTTCATTAAAAAAAAAAAAATAGAAAAAAATTAGAAACTCATCGTAATCCGTGAAAATGTTTTGTACTGTAGCCTATTCCATCTTTTTCAGTAAAACTGCTAGAAATAATACATGGCTTATATATATATATATATATATATATATATATATATATATATATGGCAATTCTAGCCAGTAAATTTCGTAATGTTTTTTTTCTTAATTTATTTATACTGTGCATAAAGAACACAATGCATAAATAACATAAGCACACACTAAAGTACAGAACAGTGATTAATTAATCAAATACAATTTACAGTGTGGATATATTTATACCTCCCAGCTTAAACATCTCATACAGTACAGGTATATATATATATACACACATTCTGAATCCATCTTTTAAGTTTCATAATCATGTTGTCACTTATATAAAATTATTTAAAATATGCACAGTAAGAAGATGGTAACTCACCGTTGGAAGCAGCACTATCTGGGGACTCTGATCTGGGTGGCTCTGGAGATTATCAGTTTCGCTCTCATTTTGGCTGTCATCATCTGAGCCTGTGCCTTCACATAGAGCTAAAACAGAAATAAATTATGTGTCAAACAATAATCCATGCTTCTATTCAACATGACACCTGACAACTATACATTTAGACTGTACATCAATAAACATTTCATCACTGGATAGATTTTGTGTGTTTATTGAAAGTGTGGTTTATGTCATCTGAATGTGTGGAATGCTTTTCAGAGAAGATAACAGAAGGCAACAGAATGGGTCAGCAATGTTTATCAGATCCTGTACTTCTGTAACCATGTTTAAAACTCAACTTTAGACAAATTTATTTGATGAGGCCTTTACTTTGTAGGGACCATTAGGCTTTGATTTTATGTTTATGTAAGTATTATTATTATTTCATTTTTATATTGTACTATTTCTTTCTTTGTATTTTACTGTGTTTCATCTAATCCATTTGTAATTGTACAGCACTTTGGTGCACACTGTGTTTTTTAAGGTGCTTTATAAATAAACTTTGATTTGATTTGATATTTTTGCCAGTGATGCGTGTGCTTTGGTCTTGTTTTGGATAAGTCATGAAATGCGAAATGATTGAACTACAGTAGTTGTCATAATGCATCAAGTATCCACAAGTTTCCGAGGGGCGCTCCTGTAAAAAATAAAGTGGGTGAAACTTCCGGTGAGGCGGCGGAAGTAGCATTCCAATGGTATTTTGTGTGTTAGTTAGCGAAGAGGCTAGCTGTTTTTCGGAGAATTATTTTACTATTTAAAGACGCAAATCTTTATGAGAGATGGTGTTACGGAGTTCATGGACAACATGTGCTGTTCGCGGTTTTATGTATAACCGGACTAAACTAGTTCAGTGGCTTAAACGTGATTGTTTTGAACATATGCTGAAAACGAAATCAGAGTGTTCCTGCCAACGACTGTAGTTTCAATCACCTCCCAAAAGACGACGAATCTTCCTGTGTACATTTGTTTAAATTTTTGATATTCTATAAACTTTTATCAGCATGTGTTTGGCTGTTCGCTACTGATGTTACACCTAAACTCAGGATCAAAGCCTGTGTTGACAGAATACCAAATGTGCCAGTTAATGTATTCAAGCAGCACATTCATTTATAATTTTGAATAAACTCCAAAGCACAATGACTAAGTGTGTATTTTTTATTTTAATTGTTTGTCAGTTCACAGAACTGTCTGTCACCATGCCTTGATGAGTATTGATTATTAATAATGTTATTATAATACTCCCAATCAACTACTGCAGAGGGTAAAGGTACTGTTATTTCACCTTTTTTAATTTCGTTGAGGTTGTGTTCCCACATCGTTAGCTAGTTTGGATCGCTATAACTTGAATGAATGTCAACTGTTGAATGAACGAGTGTCAAGCATGTCAAATCGTGCTTTGTTTACTTCCAACCGGAAGTCGCGCCCACTTTTGACGCAAGGCCTCATGGGGCGTAGGAAACTTGTGGATAGGCTATTTTTTATACATTTCTATGACACTTTTTTTTTGTGAATGTGGATTCATTTATTGTTCAGTTCTTGAATTTTATTAATGAAGGGGAATGAAAGGCATTAGATCAGAGATGCATGTCATGAATCTTCAATCGGAAAGTATAGACAGAGCACAACACAACACAGAGTTAAAATGTGTCATAATGGAAGAACAACAAAACACAAGATGAGGAAGAGGCAAACGTTTCTGATGAAGGAATACTATTTTGCACCATGTTCTCAATCATGACCTTACAATGGCTGAGGCGGGTCGAAAGTACAGCTAAATGTTGGGAGGACAACTCTTTCCTCAATCATCCTGATATATATATATATATATATATATATATATATATATATAAATATAAATATATATATACAGTACATATACGATATATACATATATACACACACACACACACACACACACACACACACACATATATATATATATATGTACATATACGATATATACATATATATTATACACACATATATATATATATATATATATATATATATATATATATATATATACACAGTACAATGTCATTGCGATACAAATATCACAATGACTTTTTACTGTAATTTGTTGACAGACCAACAGTGAAAGCGTAACTGTAACCCTGTCCAGTCTCCCATATACATGGGCCTATATGTGTCAATTTGTGCTGTTGAAATGTATATATGTCATACAGATAAAGTGCAGTCTTGTGCACTCAGTCATTGTCATAAAAAAAAAAAAAACACTGACAGAGTAGGCTAAGCTGATATTGACAACGTGACAAGAATTTGGACCATGACACAATGACTTCTTATTCTGATGATGGCACTGATATTTATATTGACATAAATACTAGATAAACTAAGGATTTTGAGCGAATAACAGGCTTTTGCTGGTAATCCATTGTGTTGTGCTGTTTGTAGGCCTATAATTGTGCTGAGAAATGCACAGACTGGTTTGCACATCTTAAGGATGATTCAAGAAATCCACTAAAGCGACCAAGACAACCTGTAATGAGGAAATATATCTTTAAAAGCACACACACCCACCACAAGATGGCAGTGTTGTCCGAGACAAAATTGAACAACAATTTTTTTCAAAGTTTTTCAAAGTGAATGTTGCACAATCCTTTTCAGCTATTTAACACCATAACACTTGTGTAAAAACCCTCTGTATTTTGATTCAAAACATTAATTGTGTCACCTACAAACTCACCTGCTCGTCTTATTTTTAACATGCACTTATATTTTTAGTTGTTGTTGTGTGTTATTCTCTTTGTTGTGGAAATGTTGGCTATGAGTCACATCTTCCCATCAGACCTCTTTAGAAAAGTGGGAAGAGTGCAAGGCTTGACGCACAACATTCAAGCTCTGATCACATTCATATAACTTTAGGCCCCAACTTCCATTCCAACAATTAAGGCAGGCTGGCGTTTTCACACCTGAAAGTCCGCACCAAGGTCCGAACCAAAGTTCATGTTTTGATACAATTAATACATTCGGTAAGTTTTGCTTTCACATTGCAATTATGCGCGTGCACTAAAGAACTTTACATGACATACTTGGGTCCTATCGTCATCAACTATGTGGGCTGCATCTTGACATTAGCCTTGTGTGAGATGCGCCTTGCCTCGACTGAAATGTAGTCCAGACAGAGAGAGTAGGCGGCTGCAGTGAGGGGAGGAGTGAAAAGAGAGCAGGGGAAGAGGACAGTCTCTCTTCTCGCAGTGGATCAGACACCTGTGAGATCAAAGACGGATATCGTGGGATTCACGCTCGTGCACAGTGTTTAGTTGCTACTGCATGTAATTTAAGTTCTGTTGCTTTATGAAAATAAATATAATGACCAAAGTAGGCTACTTGTTATTTAATTCCATTCCAAATACGTGTTTATCAATCATAGGCCCCGTCCACACTACTGTGTTTTCGTTTAAAAACGCAGCTGCAGCGTTTCTAAACTTCTCCGTTTTAGGTCTTCGTTTTTCCCGTTTTCCAGCGGGAAAGGTGTAACGGTTTGATATTCTGATAGAGGACATTCCCAACATCAAATACCAATTTTGGTGTGTCTAACTCATTCACTCTAGCGCCACCATCTGTCCAAAGTTTCACTCATGTTTATGCTTATAACTTTTGAACCGTAAGGGCTAGAAACGACATTTTTCATCTGATTCCTTAGATCAAGACGATTCGATTGTACACATAATTTTCCGTCA